TTTGTTCGAGTCTTCTGGCCAATCAGAATCAAGGTGGTTGCCGGAAGTCCCCACGGAGAACAACTTTGCGGTAGAAGTACTCTTTATACATCCATGGGTACAACTTCAGATACAAATGAACACGTAATGAAATATGACCCCTGGTTTGATGACTGACAGGTCACAGAACAATGGGGGCTATCTACCCTTACCCACAATTTAAAGTAGTTCACACAGACTCTCTCCTCTTTGCTCTTCTCTCTGTGAGGAGCAGCAAGCTGTCAGAACAAAGTGAAAAACAAACAATGGCATCAAATATTGTGAATATGTCGGGTAGTAATAGATGTATTTATTTTCTTCTCAGAGTGTACCAGAATGCGTAGTTTATATGTTAGTATTTCTAAAAGTCTCCAGGGGGAGAATCCCCCCAGACCCCCTGCTGGGGTTGGGTTTTCAGCATGAGTGCCTTTTTATGTTATACAGTTCAGCTTTGAGTCCATCATCTCATTGAACCTTTTTTTAAAGCATACTTTAGTTCTGAAAAAGGAAAAAGTGTGTCCCGAGGTCTGACCAGTTGAGAACCCCTGATCTGAAGAGATGGGCAGAAAGTTTCCTTCCTTCTTTTTCTATCAAGCCACTAGACGCCTTAAACAGACATTTTTAACTCGTTTAACTCCCTTTAAAGGGGACCTATCATGCTATATTTGAATAATATAGTGTAGGACCATACCTATATAAGGCATATTTATACTTTTTCTTTTTCAAAATACCAAACAGATCATGCATTTTAGCCATGCCTCATTTTGCTCAATTTGACATTTTTTAGCTCTGCTCAGCAAGGGCTGATTCAGTGAGAACAGCACCACCTACAGGCCTGGCATATGTACTACAGCGTCTCCAGCGCTTTCGAACGGCAATGGCCGTGGCTGTCTCCTCCTGATTGGTGGAGTTGGCCCAATAGCCGTAGCGCCACCGTCCTGACGTCAGGACAGTGTTCAAATCTGGATCAGTTTTTATCAGATCCGTTGCAGCCCCTTTTTTAGAGATTTGGGTATGGAGGAAAATAGAGAGGGTTGTGTTTTCTGACACTTGGTGAGTTCCCTGGAACACCGGGGACACATATTCATGTAGAAAAGACGTAGAAAAGTGCATTTTGCATGATAGGTCCCCTTTAAGTTATGAAGTTATATAAGCCTTATCAAAGAAAGAAAGCAAGAAAGAATACCCAAGTTGTTTGTTCTTTTATTTGAGTTTTGCCTCTTTGTTTAGACTATACTGTAAAGGCCTCTTTTCTTTGTTGCACGTGTAAAAAGTGTGTTATTTTATTCCGAGCAAACCCATCGCATAACATCATCCAAACCATCGGAGGCCAAGCAACTCTTCTACTGGAAGTTAAACAAAGATAAAGGAAAGACAACAAGTTAAAGATGTCTGTGTAAGGCGCCTGGCGGCTTGATAGAGAACCAGGAAGGACACGACAGGACATTGCATGAAATCGGGTTATTATACGATGTAGTAACAGACTATTGTGCAAGTTCATTTCTACAGCTCCTTTCAACACAAGGCAATTCAAAGTGCCTCAAGACATTACGAGCATAAAGAAATAGTGCAGCAGAAAAGATTTGGATGAATAAAGTACTTCTTATTCTTATTCTAATTGTTATTCTTGTTACAAGTCGAGAAATAATTCAGGCGGGTTGTGAATGGTGCGTTCAGGTGTCTGTGGGAAAAACCTCCACGTTGATTTTCACCCCTGGTTTTCCCAGGCCTTCTCTCAGAGCGTTTGACCCGACTTCATGCCCCTCAGACAGAGAGACGTATTGTAGCAGAGCCTACACACACACACACACACACACACACACACACACACACACACACACACACACACACACACACACACACACACACACACACACACACACACACACACACACACACACACACACACACACACACACAGGATAAGCTGTATATCAAGTCATTTAGTCATTTCGTTATATAAAAAAAGAAATTGAGTGGTTTGTTTGAGGTTTTTAGCTGTTGCAGGAGATTTTATGTGTATTTTTTTAGTTTTTCGTCATTAAAGTTGAAAGAAAACTGGCCCTAGTTTTAAAAGAAATTGTTTTTATCGATTGCAAATAACCACAAAAGGTATAAACACATCATGAAAGATTTCATCGAGCGTTAAGTTGATATTTTAGCCGTGTTAGTTGCATGAACGCTCCTGCTCTGGGAAAACAAGTCCAGCTCGAGTAAATGAAATGAATAATCCTCCAGTTTACTCCAGAACAATGAGAGAGGAGGAGGAGGACATTATCAGAAATATCACAGAAGAAGAAGAAGAAGGGGAAGTGGGAGAAAAGGAGGAAGAGAGTGAAGGACCTTGTGTGATTTAGAGGTGATTAATCAGAGAAGAAGAAAAGAGCGTAGAGCGCTGGAGCAGCAGAATGCAAGGAAACAGTGTGTGTGTGTGTGTGTGTGTGTGTGTGTGTGTGTGTGTGTGTGTGTGTGTGTGTGTGTTTGATGTTGATTCAGGCACGACGGACATTGTTTGGTTTTCATTCCCTGAAGTCAGATTCTCAGGCTCAGAATCCTGCAGCTTTAAATACCTCAACATGCACAAAATACACCACTTTCTGCCCCGCACACACACACACACACACACACACACACACACACACACACACACACACACACACACACACACACACACACACACACACACACACAAACACACACACACACACACACACACACACGCCACACACACACACACATACACACACACACACACACACACACTCACACACAACACACACACACACACACACACACACACACGCACACACACACACACACACACACACACACACACACACACACACGCACATAGGTGTAACATAAAGATTAACAGAACTAAAAGTCAGGAACGCAGAGAATGTGGCAGATGACAGTTTACAGCAGACATGTCAACCTTTGTGTGTGTGTGTGTGTGTGTGTGTGTGTGTGTGTGTGTGTGTGTGTGTGTGTGTGTGTGTGAGGGCATCTGACACTAAACAGGTATACAGACACACATTGACCAGATGCCATTCAGAAATATGTACGTTCCTCTCTCATTAACATGCCATCGGCAGCGCAACATGCTAATAAGAACACGCTAACTGCTTTCCGTCATCTGTCCAGACGGATGAAGAGCAGCACTTCATCCGTTCAAATCACACACGGTCCTTCATTGTACTCTGAATCTCGTTATACTCTGTGTATAATGACAATAAAAGGCTTTAACTTAACTTAACTTTAACTTAAGTGCAGCAGAGACAGTGAAGCTAAGATTTAAAAAAATACAACTTGACCCACTGTTTTCCATCAAAGCAAAACACAAGCCTAGTTAATGGAAGCAGAATAGATGTGAGAATAAAAGAACGGTCAACAAAGACTGGAGAAAAAATATGGAGAAATATTAAACTTATATGTGTGTGTGTGTGTGTGTGTGTGTGTGTGTATGTGTGTGTGTTGTTTTATAGTTTTTCTGCACATTTGAATCTAACTTCCCATGTTTATTTAACATGTTTTATTCTGTGTTATTTTATCTTTTTTTGCGCATATTTACTGTAACTGTCTTTTGTATTGAAAAAAAATAAAACTTGAATTTCTGACTTTTTTCGAAAAAAATCTAACTTTTTTCTCCGAATTTTTGGCTTCTTAAAATTCTGACTTTTTATTAAAATATTGACATTTTCTTCTTCCCCTAAATTCTAACTTTTGAATTTTTTCTCAGAAATAAAATAAAAAAGAAGAAAATGTTTTAATATGAACTTTTTCCTGAGATTTTTTACTTTTTCCAAGAATTAGGTTTTGTTTTCTTTCAAAAAGGGTATTTTTTTAGTTTTTCTCAGAATTGTAACTATGATGAGGGTCTATCAATGAAACACTGAGGAAGGAGGGGACACCTGATGACCCCAATGATGTTATTACCCCTTCATCCACTCAAGAAGGTACTGATTATTATAAGGGATCGTAAAAGTCCTATGAGCTCAATGTAGGGTTTGTTTTTAGAGATACCTGTATACCTGTATACCTGTATGTATACCTGAATACCTGTATACCTGTATGTATACCTGTATACCTGAATACCTGTAAGCATCTCATCAAAGACACCTGTGTGATGTTGACTGTATTTGATTGACAGCTGTCTCTTATCTGTGCTTCCTGTCACGAGCCACTTTTCTCTCTGTGTGTTTTTAGGATTTCCTGCTGCTGCCCAGTTTAATTGTCTGACCTCTGGAGGCTCTCTTTTTAGACATCTTGACCGTTGACCGCTCCCCCACTGCTATATTTAGGCTTGTAAACAGTCTGGGAAACTGACGGGGATTTCCCCAACATGTGATTCTGAGACGCTCGTTTTTCACTGTTCGGACAATTGTGAGCATCTCGTGAGAAACAATGTAAAGGGTGATTTATTTCTTTATCCTCAGGGCTTTTTAACTCGAAGGGGATTTCAGAGAAACACATATTTCACGATCAAACCTGATGATTTGTTTATGACGTGAAATGATCACTTTAAATCAAACAAGATGAAAAGCCATTCGATACGGAAGAGGATTAGGGTCACGTGGGAAATCCTTTTTGAGATCTGACCGAAAATTAAAATTGTATTTAGTCAGAATTTCCTAATTTCTCAGAATTCCGAGATTTTTTCGTTTTTATCAGAATGTTAACTTTTCAAAAAATCAGTTTTTATTATTTTTTAAAAAGTTTTTCACAGAAAATATCTGACTTTTTTATTTTTCTCAGAATTTTGACTAAAATAATGAATATAATTTCTGATCTACATTTTATAACTAAATGCTGCTTTGCAGAGTTCTTGGAATGGTCTCCTAATTATTTCCAGAGCTGTTCATGGGTAAAATTCTCTTTTGCACCCGGAGCTGCAGTACCACCGTTTGGCCACTCCAAAAATACCCTAAATAAACCATCTTCAAAGGGGGGCGCTGTTCCTGCGAAACCGACGCTGAGCTGCAAACCGGATACGGAAGCACCCTGTTGTTTTCTGTTGTCTGTGTTCCTCCCCTCTCGCCTCTCTCCAGTTAAAGGAGCTTTACAGGTGATAAATGGAGCATAAACTGATCGTAGCGGTGTCTGGATTCCCTTCTCTTTACGACAGCGGCTCTCTGACCTACAGAGACCTGAATATGAGAGCTGAATCCTGGCGGCAGGTCTCTCAGATCGTCGGTGTTCCCGGTAAGAGCTCCGTTTAAACCGTTTCAACCGCTAACGATTACCGTTTCTGTCACAGATTCACCCCAAAAGAAGCAGATTTACCGTGGCTGTGAAACGAGAGTCTGTTGGATAATTTAACTTTGAACAGTTTCTGTCAAATCTGATGTTTTAAAGATCAAAACAAAGGAGGGTGCGCATCCTAATACCGTCCGACTCCTGTGGTTCATAGCCACATTGGTTCCTACTTATCCTTATAAACACCTCACAGATACAACGTTTTATTTAAAAAACATGTTATTTACTAAAACAGCTGGTACTATATAATTACATGTATGATTTCGAGTACAAGTACATGATGTACATTTAGCAAAATGTACTTTATTTAAAAATAAATTCTGAGTTTTGACTTTGACACACAAAGCAAACATAAGGTTCAAGGTTCAAGGTTCTTTATTGTCAATCTGACATAGCTACAGAGTAATTATGTAGTTGAAAATCTTATGTCACAGGCTTCTCCAACAATGCAACATAATAACATAATAACAATAAGAGCGAGAGCAATACAAAAAGAATAATAGTTATAAAATAAAATAAAAGTTATGATGTGGAATAGTGCAGTACGAGTCTATATACAAGTTATTGGAATGATATATATATATATATATATTAGGTATTAGATACATACTACTGAGTAGCAGATGCATGTTTGAAGTTGTTTCAAGGCACAAGGCAAGGCACATAAGGCACTTAAATAAACTAAGATAAAAGAAGAATAAAAAAAGACAGTAATTACACATAGAAGTCCTAGAACATATTCAAAGAGTACAAATAATGCTATCAATTCCTCCTTTTGATAGTTTAATGATTATGTATTGGATCAATGTACAATAGAAAATGTCCTGCTATATTACATTACATGTCACTTGTTAGACGCTTTTATCCAAAGCGACTTACATACTCAATACTGTGGACAATCCCCACAGGAGCACTTTGGGGTGAAGTGTCTCAGGGACACAACGACATGCTGACTGCAGTGGGGTTTGAACCTGTGCTCCCCTGATCCCAACACCAACGCACTAGTCCACTGTGCCGCAGCCTCCCTATATATTATATGGCTAAGAACATTTGGCGGATTTAGCCTGTTATTGCAGTGATTACTTGTTGTTACCATTAAGTACCAACAAAGTTAGTTTTAATTGTAATAATGACAACAATCCGGCAGTGGTTCAGTCAGTAGGGGCTTGGACTGCGAGTAGGGTTGCTGGTTCAAGTCCCCGAACAGACCTAAATATGGAGTGTGGACTGCTACTGGTAACTCCATTGGGGCTTTTATTTTGAAAAAAAACATGCCTCGTTAAGCTCCCTTGAAAGGATACAGTAACTCCATTGGGGCTTTTATTTTGAAATAAAACATGCCTCGTTAAGCTCCCTTGAAAGGATACAGTAACTCCATTGGGGCTTTTATTTTGAAAAAAAACATGCCTCGTTAAGCTCCCTTGAAAGGATACAGTAACTCCATTGGGGCTTTTATTTTGAAATAAAACATGCCTCGTTAAGCTCCCTTGAAAGGATACAGTAACTCCATTGGGGCTTTTATTTTGAAAAAAAACATGCCTCGTTAAGCTCCCTTGAAAGGATACAATGTATGTGTGTCGGTTAAGAGGAAAAGGTGCTTGGTGTTTTTGCTATTATTACTATCAGGGAATGTACAACTAAACCCTGGACCGCCCAGTGGCAGTAGTAGTCAGATAGCTACTCCTGCTGATTTTATTTCTAGATCTGGGTTGGGATTCATTCACTTAAATGTGCGCAGTCTGTTACCTAAGTTAGATTTTGTCCGCATTTGGACGAGCTCGACTGATGCTGATATCATTGTCTTATCAGAAACGTGGCTAGATAAATCTATTTTGGCCTCTGACATCTACTTAAATGGTTATAGTGTATATCGTACCCACCGTCCTAAAAAAAGTGGTGGCGTTGCCATTTATGTGAAAAATAAGTTTTGTGTAACCAAGATGGTTTCCAAATCTATTAGTAAACAACTAGAATTTTTAGCCTTAAATATTGAAGTAGCAAAGGGTCAACAGCTCATGGTGGTGGGCTGCTACAGACCCCCCTCAGCTGTCAAGGACTCTTTATCTTCATTGGCAAAACTTTTATCTCAACTTGACTACAAGGAAATAGTGCTGCTTGGTGATTTTAATTGGGACTGGTTAACTTCTGTGTCAGAGGATTTTAAAAACCTTTGTATCTCTCTGAATGTTACTCAGATTATAGACAGTCCTACTCGCCCTAACATTAAGTCCCCTAATAAATCCTCCCTAATTGATCTCATTCTAACTAATGTTCCCTATAAATACCCATCTGTGGGAGTATTTGCTAATGATCTGAGTGATCACTGTGCTGTAGCCACAATCAGGGACACTAAGGTCCAAAAGGTTAAACCTCGTATTATCAGTAAGAGAGACATAAAACATTTTGTGGAGCAGGGTTTTGTTCATGATCTGTTTGGGTTTGATTGGGGTAAAATCGATCTGTGTGCTGATGTTGAAACTGCATGGTCTTATTTTTATCTTGGTTTTATGGAGATCATTGATAGACATGCACCCCTACGTACATTTAGAGTGAAGGGACGAGACAACCCTTGGTTTCCTGCTGAACTGTCCAGTCTCCTGCATGAGAGAAACAAGGCCTGGGCAAAGGCTAGGAAATCAGGCTCAGAGGTAGAATGGTTTTAGGCAGCTAAGGAATAGCTTCACTTCACATGTCAAAAGTGCTAAGTCGAAGTACTATCTGTCAGTTACCACAGAAAACCTAAATAATCCTGGAAAATTTTGGAAAGCCATAAAATCGATATCCACCGGTGAGATCCGTAATGAGCTACCTCCGTGCCTTACCACAGCATCTGGCTCTATATCGGACAGGGCCACCATGTTACATTGCTTTAATGAGCATTTAGTGTCCTGTGGCTCTCTGTTTGATTCTGTGACTAACTCTGCTTCTGTGAACACCACAGTCTGTGACTCTGAACAATGTGGTCTAGAAAACCCTTTCAGTTTTACTCCTTTTACTGTAAATGTTGTTCGTGAAGCTTTAACCAAGTTAGATCCTAAGAAACCGGCTGGCCCGGACAACGTGGAACCTTTCTTTTTAAAGATAGCTGCAGATTTTATTGCTCCACCTCTCACTTCTCTTTTTAACCTCTCCCTCAGCACAAACACAATTCCAAAAGTATGGAAGTCAGCGTATGTCCTGCCACTACTAAAAGGAGGGGAAGCAACTATTTTAAATAACTATAGGCCAATCTCTAAATGATCAGTTCTGGCTAAGGTTCTTGAACGGCTAGTGAGTGAACAGGTAAAGGAGTTTCTATGTACAAATGACATCCTGTCTAAACATCAGTCAGGCTTCAGAAAGCAACATAGCACCATCACTGCCACAATGAAAGTGGTGAATGACATTACGAGTATTTTAGATAATAAGCAGAGTTGTGCAGCTCTATTTATTGATCTGTCCAAAGCGTTTGATACCGTCGATCATCGCATCTTAAAGCAGAGGCTACTCAGTATTGGCTCATCCAGCCATGCAGTGGGGTGGTTTGTGAACTACCTCTCTGAAAGGTCCCAATGTGTTTATTTTGATGGGCTGTCTTCTGAGTGGTTAAACATTGCTAATGGTGTTCCTCAAGGTTCTGTTTCAGGTCCTCTTTTATTCTCCATCTACATCAATAGTTTAGGTGAAAATGTCGATGGAGCAACCTCACATTTTTATGCTGATGATACCGTGATGTACTGTGCAGGTCCCTCCATTAAGGAGGCTGGTGTTGAATTACAGGCTGTTTTTAACATTATTCAGACTCAGCTCTCTGAACTAAAGCTTCTTTTAAATGTGGATAAAACCAAGGTAATGCTCTTTTCAAAAGCTGAAAAGACACCAGAGCCTGTTTTAGATATTGTAACTACGCAAGGAATAAAACTTGAAGTGGTTACCTGTTACAAATACCTTGGTATCTGGCTTGATGATTGTCTCACTTTTAAACGTCATGTCAATAACCTGCTTAACAAACTGAGGGTTAGACTAGGTTTCTTCTACAGGAACAAGTCCTGTTTCTCGCTCGAGGCCAGAAAAAGGCTCTGTGACCTTTTGACCTGTGCTGGCCTATGGTGATCTGATTTATATGAATGCACCTGCCCATTGCCTGATCAAGTTAGATGCTGCCTATCACAGCGCACTGAGATTTGTGACAAACTGTAAAGCATTAACTCATCACTGTACCCTGTATGCAAGGGCTGGTCTGCCTTCACTAACTGTACGGAGGCTCAGTCACTGGTACATTTTGATATATAAAGCCATGTTAGGGAAACTTCCATCCTACATCTGCTCCCTGATCTCACGGCGAATTGTAAGTGGCTACTGCCTGAGATCGCATGCTGTGGTTTTATTAAATGTGCCAACTGCTAGGACTGTCTTAGGGAAGATAGCATTTAGATGCGCAGCTCCACTGTCCTGGAATAGTCTGCAATTGAAATGGAAACTGAGCAATCTGGTGCCACTAAATGCTTTTAAAGCTCGGTTGGATGCTACTCAATCGGAAGCTGTTGGTACCTGTTCATGTGGATAGTTATGTAAATTGTAATCCCTGTAATGCTACTGTATGATGTCCTTTTTGTTGTTCTGTTTATGTTTTTATGTTTCATGTGGAACCTACTTGAGCAGGTCTCCCTTGAAAAAGAGATCAATGATCTCAATGGGATACAACCTGGATAAATAAAGGTTTGAAATGAAAATGAAATGAATACAGTAACTCCATTGGGGCTTTTATTTTGAAAAAAAACATGCCTCGTTAAGCTTCCTTGAAAGGATACAGTAACTCCATTGGGGCTTTTATTTTGAAAAAAAACATGCCTCATTAAGCTCCCTTGAAAGGATACAGTAACTCCATTGGGGCTTTTATTTTGAAAAAAAACATGCCTCGTTAAGCTTCCTTGAAAAAATACAGTAACTCCATTGGGGCTTTTATTTTGAAAAAAAACATGCCTCATTAAGCTCCCTTGAAAGGATACAGTAACTCCATTGGGGCTTTTATTTTGAAAAAAAAACATGCCTCATTAAGCTCCCTTGAAAGGATACAGTAACTCCATTGGGGCTTTTATTTTGAAAAAAAACATGCCTCGTTAAGCTTCCTGAAAGGATACAGTAACTCAGTTCAGCTTCAGTCTGACTTTCAATATAATATGTTTAGTGTCTGCATCCTCTTGCGTTTCTCAGATAACTCCGTGATCCTGATGTTATGTTAAACGTTTGTTGTTCATGTATTGCGTCTTGATGTTTGTCTGTTGATGTTACACATGGAGCTGCTGTGATGCAAGTCACATTTCAGACTTGATCTGACCATTAAAGTATTATCGTATCGTATATAACGAAGCTTTGGATTAAACGTGTAATCGTGTCTCCTCAGAGTCTGAGTGCCGGAGGAAGTGGAAGACGTTGAGGGATCAGCACCGGAGGGAGAGGCAGCGGGAAAAGGAACGTCGAGAGAGCGGCATCGGGCTCTTTAACTACCGGCCCTGGAGATACTCGGCCATCTTGTCCTTCCTGAACCCCTTCATCGATGCTCGAGTAGCGGGAACTAACGGCTGGGCTCTGGACCCTCAGCCCTCCATGTTCAGCTCCTCAGAGACCGGCTGCAGCACCACCACGGAGACACGCAGCGACGACGACAAGCACTACGGTGCGTATACGTTAATAACAAAGATGTATTTGTAATAGAGCTTTTATTTTGCAAACAGTCCTAAATCTGGGTTTACTGTAACGTACACTAACTCCATGGAGCTTTTATTTTGAAAAACATGCCTAATCCTGAGTTTTCTTTAGGGCTAAAGTTACACTATGTCGCTTTTATTTTGAAAAACAAGGCTCCTCCTGTCCCTCATGTTGGGATACTGTTACTTTATAGTGCTTTATTTTGAAAACAGTGCTCATCCTTAATTCCCTTAAAGGATACACGAACTCCATGGAGCTTTTATTTTGAAAAACAGACCTAATCCTGAGTTTTCTTTGGGGCTAAAGTTACACTATGGAGCTTTTATTTTGAAAAACAAGGCTCATCCTGTCCTCATGTTGGAATACAGTTTCTTTATGGCGCTTTTATTTTGAAAAACAAGCCTCTTCCTGTCCTCATGTTGGAATACAGTTACTTTATGGAGTTTTATTTTGAAAAACAAGGCTCTTCCTGAGCTTCCCATGAGCATACAGTATCTCCATGGAGCTTTTTATTTTGAAAAACAAGGCTCCTCCTGTCCCTCATGTTGGGATACAGTTTCTTTATGGCGCTTTATTTTGAAAACACACTTAATCCTAAACTCCCTCAAAGGATACACTAACTCCATGGAGCTTTTATTTTGAAAAACATGCCGTTTATGTGATATTCTTCTGGATCACAGCTGCGGGATGAATAATTAAATATGAATTCTTTATCTATTTTTCAGATATCTCTGTAGGCGACGCTACGACCACCACAACTTCGTCTCCTTCCTCTGAATTCGTGGAGAGGAAACGACCGTCGTCCGACACGGGAGACGACTTCAGATTCAAAGAAGCCAAGATGGAGGGCGACGCCGAGAAAAACGATTGTCCACAAACGCAACAGCAGCAGCACAACAACATGAAGGAGCTTTTTGAGATGATGATGCATTCAGTGAGTTCTTTAGCTGCGTCGATAGCATCTTCACACCCTTCCTCTTCATCAACGTTGGATCAGCCTACCTTGAACCATCACCTGAAAACGGAGAATCAGGAGGTGGAGCTTCTGGTGCAGAGCGACGACGAAGGAGAAGAGGCAAGTTTATTTATATAACTCGATATTAAGAGCATTTAGGAAATAGTGCAGCCTGTTCCTGAGCTAGCTGAAACAATAACTCAAGAACATGTAAAGTAATAAAGATGGAAAGACCAATTTAAAAGGGGATGTCGCTAATACAACTATAGCTAACTAGTAGGTATTGATAGCAGTGGCTGTATTGTTGCTTTATGGGGCTTTTATTTTGAGAAAAACATGCCTCGTTAAGCTTCCTGAAAGGATACAGTGGCCGTTTCTCAATCGCGAGGATATTGGCTTCCAACCCAATATTTCAAGGATGCTACGTCATCGAGTGCCGCCGAAGGACTGTTCCAATCTCCAGCATACTTGGAATTCCACCGAGGCCGCGTCCTTGGTTTGGGGGACATTTCGAGGCTGCACATGGGTAGACTTCGCGTCCTTAAAATCCCCACAATGCTTTGCGCATGGACCAATTCCCCCAAATCTGTGGCGGAAGATGTAAGGCAGGGCCTCTCATATGACGCACACCTGCACACTTGCTAGCATGTTCCACTCTTTGTTTTCCGAATGCCAGGAAGTATTCTTGCCTCGCTTCTGAAGCAAAATGCTCGGCTCGGCTGTGCTACCAAGCCAGCATCCTCGCGATTGAGAAACGGCCAGTAACTCCATTGGGGCTTTTATTTAGAAAAGCATTCCTAATCCAGAGTACAATAACTCCATTGGGTTTTATTTTGAAAAACAAGACTCATGTTGACTTTCCTGTTGGGATAGAGCTGGGTTGCGGTCGAATAGTCCGTTTCTCTTAGGAACCTTCCTAACGGAGTGAAATGACCCGGAGGTCCCTCAGTGGCAGCCATGATAAGTGCCGTTCCAATTCTCTAGATGAAAGGAAAGGAGGTTTCAAACTTCCTTTATAACCTCCTTTAGCTTAGGAACCACTGGACCTCATAAAGCATAACAGCATCAGAGCACGGTGCAGAGTCTCTAGATGAGTTTACAGTAGTCCCTCGTTCTTATTAAACATCCATGTTGTAGTCCGCTCTATAGAAAACTGTAGTTTCCATAGTTTCCCCACAGCAGCAGACGCACATGTATGACCTCCGCTGGCGCATCATAAACACGTCGGATTCTCTAAAGTACCGCAGTCTCTTCTCCTAAGTCCTTTTGAATTCTCCTATCCACTATCCCTTAACCCTGTGACGTTTCACTCAGAGGTCAAGGGATAGACGATAGGGATAGACGATAGGGATAGACGATAGGGATAGACGGTAGGGTTAGACGGTAGGGATAGACGATAGGGATAGACGGTAGGGTTAGACGGTAGGGATAGACGGTAGGGATAGACGGTAGGGATAGACGGTAGGGATAGACGATAGGGATAGACGGTAGGGATAGACGGTAGGGATAGACGGTAGGGATAGACGGTAGGGATAGACGGTAGGGTTAGACGGTAGGGATAGACGGTAGGGATAGACGGTAGGGATAGACGGTAGGGTTAGACGGTAGGGATAGACGATAGGGATAGACGGTAGGGATAGACGATAGGGTTAGACGGTAGGGATAGACGGTAGGGTTAGACGGTAGGGATAGACGGTAGGGTTAGACGGTAGGGATAGACGGTAGGGTTAGACGGTAGGGATAGACGGTAGGGTTAGACGGTAGGGATAGACGGTAGGGATAGACGGTAGGGTTAGACGGTAGGGATAGACGATAGGGATAGACGGTAGGGTTAGACGGTAGGGATAGACGGTAGGGATAGACGGTAGGGTTAGACGGTAGGGATAGACGATAGGGATAGACGGTAGGGATAGACGGTAGGGATAGACGGTAGGGATAGACGGTAGGGTTAGACGGTAGGGTTAGACGGTAGGGATAGACGATAGGGATAGACGGTAGGGTTAGACGGTAGGGATAGGGATAGACGATAGGGATAGACGGTAGGGTTAGACGGTAGGGTTAGACGGTAGGGTTAGACGGTAGGGATAGACGGTAGGGTTAGACGGTAGGGATAGACGATAGGGATAGACGGTAGGGTTAGACGGTAGGGATAGACGGTAGGGTTAGACGGTAGGGATAGGGATAGACGATAGACGGTAGGGTTAGACGGTAGGGATAGACAGTAGGGTTAGACGGTAGGGATAGGGATAGACGATAGACGGTAGGGTTAGACGGTAGGGATAGACGGTAGGGTTAGACGGTAGGGATAGACGGTAGGGATAGACGGTAGGGATAGACGGTAGGGATAGACGGTAGGGATAGACGGTAGGGATAGACGGTAGGGATAGACGGTAGGGTTAGACGGTAGGGATAGACGGTAGGGTTAGACGGTAGGGTTAGACGGTAGGGATAGGGATAGACGGTAGGGATAGACGGTAGGGATAGACGGTAGGGATAGACGGTAGGGTTAGACGGTAGGGATAGACGGTAGGGATAGACGGTAGGGATAGACGGTAGGGATAGACGGTAGGGATAGACGTTAGGGATAGTCGGTAGGGATAGACGGTAGGGATAGACGGTAGGGATAGAAGGTAGGGATAGACGGTAGGGATAGACGGTAGGGATAGACGGTAGGGATAGACGTTAGGGATAGTCGGTAGGGATAGTCGGTAGGGATAGTCGGTAGGGATAGACGGTAGGGATAGAAGGTAGGGATAGACGGTAGGGATAGACGGTAGGGATAGACGGTAGGGTTAGACGGTAGGGATAGACGGTAGGGATAGACGGTAGGGATAGACGATAGGGTTAGACGGTAGGAGCTGACTTTTGGACTATTCGACCGCAACCCCGGGGTCTGCGGCCCGTCGGCCATTTTGAATCGGCCCTCTGCAAATTCAAAAAGTATAATGGAATACGGCCCACATCGGAAATGTGTGCTTTTCTTATATTGTACTTCTTAAATATATATGTAAACATATATTACACAGTATTCATGTGTTAATAAGCCCAGTTTTAAAATAAATTCAGTCAATTCATGTTGAAAACATTTTCTAACAAATTTGAGTTGATAAGAAAAAAGCCCAATGACTTATTCACATAACTAGCTTGAAATACACCCTTGCTTTAAATGCTTCATAAACCAGTATTTTGATGTTCTTCAACAGACAGGGAGCCAGTGTCGAGAGCTCAGAACTGGAGGTGTGTCTCGGGAGGATCATCCGAGGGTCAAGAGGAGGGGCGAGGCCCTGCTGGAGGACCATCTGAGGAGGACGGAGGCCTGCGAGGCTCAAAAAGACGATGTGACGCTGTTTCTCCTGAGTTTAGCCCCCGCTCTGAGGAGACTGACCCCACAGAAACAGTCCTGGGTCAGAACCAAGATCCAGCAGTTCCTCCACGAATCTGAATTCGGTGCCACCAGCTTTCAGTGAAGTATATTCTATATGTTTATAGGCTGTATGGCCGGGGGGTCTGTTTTCTACGATTTAATTTTGAATCGACCCTTAGCCAATTAAAAAAGTATAATGTAATATGGCCCACAAATGAAACTTCTCTATTGTATTTCTTAAATATATATGTTCAAATATATTACACAGTAGCTGAATAAAACCCTATGGAGAGCTGTGATGTTGTAATTTACCTACATTTGAAAGATTTTTCTAACTTATAACTGAACTTACGAGGCAATATAACTCTAGTGAGCGGCCCAGCGCTTCGAATATTTTTCTGTGTGTGGCCATCGGGGAAAAAAGTTTGGACACCCCTGTTGTATAGACTAGGGCTGCACAATCAATCAATCAATCAATAAAATGTATACAGCCCATTATCACACATTTTCTCCATTTCTCTCAGAGGGCTTTTCAGTTTTTACACAATTTGAAGACGACGATCCAAAATGTTATCGCAATAGTGGCATTTCTATTTCTGTGTTGGTCCCTGAAGGCGGCACCGTTTATAATAAGCTATTTTGGATCATTGCAGAAAATAATCTCAATGTTTATGATTCTTACACGTTTAGTTTAGTTTAGTAGGATAATCTCCACATATTAATAACACTTTATGATTTATGAAGTAAAAAGCTAATGTTGGGCTATAAAGGAACTACAGCACAGTCACATGACTTCACGTCACCACCGCTAAGCTAACGGTGGCTAATGTTGGGCTATAAAGGAACTACAGCACGGTCACATGACTTCACGTCACCACCGCTAAGCTAAAGGTGGCTAATGTTGGGCTATAAAGGAACTACAGCACGGTCACATGACTTCACGTCACCACCGCTAAGCTAAAGGTAGGCTAATGTTGGGCTATAAAGGAACTACAGCACGGTCACATGACTTCACGTCACCACCGCTAAGCTAAAGGTGGCTAATGTTGGGCTATAAAGGAACTACAGCACGGTCACATGACTTCACGTCACCACCGCTAAGCTAAGGATGGCTAATGTTGGGCTATAAAGGAACTTACAGCCACGGTCACATGACTTCACGTCACCACCGCTAAGCTAAAGGCTGGCTAATGTTGGGCTATAAAGGAACTTACAGCACGGTACCATGTGACTTCACGTCACCCACCGCCTAAGCTACCGGTGGCTAAGTTGGGCTATTAAGAAGGAACTACAGCACGTCACATGACTTCACGTCACCACCGCTAAGCTAAAGGTTGGGCTAATGTTGGGATATAAAGGAACTTACCAGCCACGGTCACAGTGACTTCACATCACCACCGCTAAGCTAAAGGAGGCTAATTTTGGGCTATAAAGGAACTACAGCACGGTCACATGACTTCACGTCACCACCGCTAAGCTAAAGGTGGCTAATGTTGGGTGTGATGATGTTTAGTCGTCTCATTTAGACATTTGTTAGCAACAACAGACCTAAGGTGGTGAAGAAAGTAAACTAATTTGTTTGTCCATTTGCAGAAATGTTCAAATATAAAGAAATATGTGTCAAAGTTCATCTTTTGAATGAAGTGTTGTGGAGCTGCAGATATACTCCAGCCTACAAAATGGTTGTAAAATTCTTGTTGATACAGATCCTCCACCATGATAACCTCAGAAGAATCACAATTGGATATTTTCCCAAGCTGTGCAGCCTTAGTGTGAATCACATATTTGCTGACTTTATGAAAAATATACCTCCCTATAAAGGAGTTTTTATGATATTGTACCGTCTTCTTTACCATGTTTTTGTGCTGTTTTTAATAAAAACAATTCCTCTTGTGCCTGTATTTTAAATTACAATATATCAGACTGAGAAATCCTTTATTCATCACACAGCAGGGACATTATTAAAGCCAGTGGTGTAAAGTAAGTACATTTACTCAGGTACTTGTACTTTACTTGAGTATTTCCATGGTATGCTTCTGTGTACTTCTACTCCTCTACAATTCAGAGGTAAATGGTGTACTTTTACTTCACTACATGTATTAATAATGCATTTAGTTATATATTTGTATTTTAATATATTTTACATTTGAATTATTGTAATTATTAATGTTTTATTATTATTATTATAATTATTATAGTGTTTTCAATGTTTGAGAAACACTTCCCCCTACTGGCTCAATAACGGTATTACACTTAAACCGGCCTTCATCCGGGTCTTTTGGTCACCTGATCAAAATACGGAAGTAGGTTTTTTGAATTTCTCCTGATAGATCCATGGAGAAAACCTGCTCGAAAAGTCTACAAAACGTTCACTTTCTAAGGATTTATGAACCGTTTTCCAGTTGTTTCAACGGTTCTACGTGACGTTTGAATCGGTGAGTACCGTGACAAGATATTAACGGGTGTGTGTGTCGGTTTGTAACGTCAAACTGTGGTTATTTGTTGTTATAAATCAATTCAAGATCTATTTTTAAAGCCTAATATCACAAAACAGGCTTTTCCCAGTAGTTTCCAGAATAATAAACATAATGTAGATGGAGTGAAATATAGTTACAATTACAAGAAAATGGTTATATAAGATAAAATACAACTAAAAGATAGTACAAATACAATACAAACAATACAATAAATACCTTAAACTGTAGGACTCATGAGGAAACACATAGGGTGATAAAGAGCGTTACGGTTATTATTGAACTGTTTACTGTATTTCTCCAGAGGGGAAGAAGTACTCCGGTCTTGTTAAAGTAGAAGTACTCAGGTCTTGTTAAAGTAGAAGTACTCAGGTCTTGTTAAAGTAGAAGTACTCAGGTCTTGTTAAAGTAGAAGTACTCAGGTCTTGTTAAAGTAGAAGTACTCAGGTCTTGTTAAAGTAGAAGTACTCGGGTCTTGTTAAAGTAGAAGTACTCAGGTCTTGTTAAAGTAGAAGTACTCGGATCTTGTTAAAGTAGAAGTACTCGGGTCTTGTTAAAGTAGAAGTACTCAGGTCTTGTTAAAGTAGAAGTACTCAGATCTTGTTAAAGTAGAAGTACTCAGGTCTTGTTAAAGTAGAAGTACTCGGGTCTTGTTAAAGTAGAAGTACTCAGGTCTTGTTAAAGTAGAAGTACTCAGATCTTGTTAAAGTAGAAGTACTCAGATCTTGTTAAAGTAGAAGTACTCGGGTCTTGTTAAAGTAGAAGTACTCAGATCCTAGTACTCGAAATACTATACATGAAAGTACCTGCTGGATTAGTTCAGTATGGACAGTATGGTGGGGATAGTATGAGAGTCAGAAATTGAGCCACAAACAATTTCCTCTGTTTTATTTTTGTTAAAGTCAAGTGTAAAAAATAGAGACTGAATAAACCTTTCTTTTTTTGTTTTACTTTTGACCACAGGTGTCATTGTTGGATATAAATCCCCCCCCCCCTGCAGGTGATGGAGAAGGTGTTTCGCTCTGCGGGTCGTCATGGTTACGCTGTGGAGGTTTCCCCCTTCTTCCCCCACAGAGTCGCCTGCGCTGCGGCTCAGCACTACGGCATCGCTGGTGAGGAGGAACACTCATTCATACTTCAGTCATTCCAAAAATAATTACAACTTCTCAGTGACCTTCAAGGTGTTCAGAGAATACCCTGGAACAACAAATACCATGAATAAATGAGAATGGTATCAGTGTTACGTTGATTTGTTTCTCCTTCTCGGACCACGCTCGACGCATTTCAGTGGTTTTGTGTCAGAAAAGAAAGCAACCAATCAGATCTTGTTCTGGGTCTCTGGGTAGAATATCCTTCAACCGTGTGTGTGTGTGTGTGTGTGTGTGTGTGTGTGTGTGTGTGTGTGTGTGTGTGTGTGTGTGTTGTGTGTGTGTGTGTGTGTGTGTGTGTGTGGTGTGTGTGTGTGTGTGTGTGTGTGTGTGTGTGTGTGTGGTGTGTGTGTGTGTGTGTGTGTGTGTGTGTGTGTGTGTGTGTGTGTGTGTGTGTGTGTGTGTGTGTGTGTGTGTGTGGTGTGTGTGTGTGTGTGTGTGTGTGTGTGTGTGTGTGTGTGTGTGTGTGTGTGTGTGTGTGTGTACAGCAGGTCCAGTTGGGATAGACACGGTTCGTCACTGCAAGATATATATATTTGTTATCTTTAGGCCTTTTGCTTTAAACCAGGGGTGTCCAAACTACGGCCCGGGGCCCATTTTGAATCGGCCCTCAGCTAATTAAAAAAGTATAATGAAATATGGCCCATAAATAAAACTTGTGCTTGTCTTATATTGTACTTCTTAAATATATATGTGAAGAAAAAGCCCAATAACTTCATTACATAACAAGCTTGAAATAGACCCTTCATATTTCCTCGTATTATAATCACTCTGTTTTAAGGAATGAGCTGCAACAGAATAAAGTGAACCCTCTGGAGAGCTGTTGGTTTCTTAAAGCATTCTCAAGTATCAAGCATCCTTTCCCTTCATGTGATTGGCTTAGCTGACTAACAACTGAACCTGTGAGGCCCTCAAAAGTTTGGACACCCCTTCTTTAAACTGTGTGTGTGAGTTTTTACTGTGTGAGTTACATTTTTTAGTGTGTGTGTGTGTGTGTGTGTGTGTGTGTGTGTGTGTGTGTGTGTGTGTGTGTGTGTGTGTGTGTGTGTGTGTGTGTGTGTGTGTGTGTGTGTGTGTAGGGTGCGGCACCCTGCTGGTCCTGGATCAGACAGAGACGGGAGTAACTTTAGTGAGAAGGTAACCTTTATTTGTTTCTTGTTTACATTTAATTATCTCTCCCTGATCTCAGAAATATAATATTATTTGTAATTTAATGTTTTTTTATCTATTTATTCATTATTATTACTTTTTGCTGTGTCTGTCTGTGTCCGTGTGTGTGTGTGTGTGTGTCTCTGTGTGCGTCTGTGTGTGTGTGTGTGTGTGTGTGTCTGTGTGTGTCTCTGTGTGTGTCTGTGTGTGTGTCTCTGTGGTGTGTCTCTCTGTGTGTGTCTGTGTGTGTGTCTCTGTGTGTGTCTCTGTGTGTGTCTGTGTGTGTGTCTGTGTGTGTGTGTGTGTGTGTGTGTGTGTGTGTGTCTGTGTGTCTGTCTTTCTCTCTCTCTGTGTGTGTCTCTGTGTGTGTCTGTGTGTGTGTCTCTGTGTGCGTCTGTGTGTGTTTCTCTCTGTGTCTGTGTGTGTGTGTGTGTCTCTCTCTGTGTCTGTGTGTGTGTCTGTCTGTGTGTGTCTCTGTGTGTGTGTGTGTGTGTGTGTGTGTGTGTCTGTGTGTGTCTCTCTGTGTGTGTGTGTGTGTGTGTGTGTGTGTGTGTGTGTGTGTGTGTGTGTGTGTGTGTGTGTGTGTGTGTGTGTGTGTGTGTGTGTGTGTGTGTGTGTGTGTGTGTGTGTGTGTGTGTGTGTGTGTGTGTGTGTGTGTGTGTGTGTGTGTGTGTGTGTGTGTGTGTCAGCTGGCAGTGGGGTGACGGTCTGTTTGATGTATCTTGGAGTGAAGTTAACGAGCATCTATTGGTCGCTGGAGGCGGAGACGGCAGTTTGCAGCTTTGGGATTCAGCCAATCACAGCGCTCCGTTGCGGGCGGCCAAAGAACACACACAGGAGGTGAGAGAGGCAACCAGACACACACTGAGGCCCTTTCTCATTTCTCTAACTCCCCTCCTCGACTCCTATCCTCAAGACTTAGTCCCGCCCACAGGAGATGCGAGCGGAGGAGAGAGGAGGGGAAGCAGCAGGTGGTTAGAGAAATGAGAACTCCTCTCCTCTGAGCGGTCATTTTAAAGAGACGTCCATTAATGATGACAGGAGGCACAGCAGCCCTCTGTCTGATGGACAGATGTGTTCATGATGACTTGTATATTTACTTTTTAATTCATTCACAGTGCGGTTTAATGAGACAATAACAGGCTACAGATGCGGACACACACACACACACACACACACACACACACACACACACACACACACACACACACACACACACACACACACACACACACACACACATATGTATATATTTATATAAATATATACAATTTCAGAATCAAACAGAGCACTCTCATAATAACGTAACACTATCAGAGACTGGATATATCCCCCCCTGGGTCTGCCCCTCGCTCTCCTCTCAGCTCAAATTAAAATATGTAATGCTAGCTAAATATATAAAACATATATCAGAGCATTTAGGAGACGGGCAGTGTCTGACGGTAATACACACACACACACACATACATACATACATACATACATACATACATACATACATACATACATACATTCACTGAAACTGAGTGGGCTTTCATAAGGTGTGTGTGTGTGTGTGTACAGGTGTATTCTGTGGACTGGAGTCAGACTAGAGGAGAGAACCTCATCGTCTCCGGGTCGTGGGATCAAACGGCTAAAGTGGTCAGTTTGAAACCTAAATCTTTTTTTTTAAAGTTTTCTGTTTCCTCGTATTTATTTTAATGTGTGTGTGTCTTCCCTCCCTCCAGTGGGACCCGTCTCTCAGCCAATCAGTGTCCACGCTCAGAGGTCATGAAGGGGTCATCTACAGCACCGTTTGGTCGCCTCACATCCCAGGGTGCTTTGCGTCAGCCTCAGGTGAGAAAACACACAAAAAGCCAGATGTGGATTGAAGGGAAACGAACAGGAGTCCAGTTAAAGTAACGGGTCTTTCAGAACTGACTTGAAAGAGCTTTGAATGGTTTACAAAGCTTTCCATCACCTGGTCCCTGCATACATCACAGACTGCCTTTCAGTGTATATTTATTTTATTATTTTATTATTTGTATTTATTATTTGAAGGACTCTCAGATCCTCCAGTGCCTCTCTGGGGAGGCTGCTTCCTGTTGTTCTGGATCGCCCTTACGGCCCGTCCACACAGCAGCGTTAAAAAAATCTTGGAGGTGGGCGTATCTGAAGCTTGGGGATTTTTTGCGAGCAAGGCACCAACAACCAATCACATGAATCTCCCGCCCCCGACATACGAAGCAAAAAAGCCCGAAGTAAACTGGATATAAACTCCCCAAACAGGCGAAAAGCTACCACTGTCTCTGCCACCTCCCTCCATGCCTGGCTCCTCCGGTTTGTATCCCGGTAGGTAAATAGGGACTGGTCATAAAGCACCGGGTGATTCCCTACCGCTCATTTCTCCTCCATGTTTTGGAATATGAGGAAATGACCTGCGGTATGTCTCTCCCAGCATACACGCGGTTTGATTGGCTAGAGCTTGAACTGTCAGATTTGCATACACGGGATTTGATTGGCTGACGCTTCCACCTCAGCTTCAAAAGTTGAACATTGCTCAACTTTGAATCCTGAAAATCCTGGAAATCTCCGCTCTGCTTCCCACAATGCAGTTCGGTGAAAAGTGAGGCAAAGTGACGTCACCCCATTCAAAGTGAATGGGCAGAAGCGTTCCAAGATTTTTTTTAACGCTGCTGTGTGGACGGGCCGCTAGAGTTCAAGTCAATTCAAGACCTTTCTTTTTCATTTGGGGTGATTTGAGTGTTTTCTGGCTCTGGGTTTGAACTCTTTCTGTGTTGTTCTGAAACATGTTCTTCACTCTGTGAAGCTCTTTGGCCGGAAAGGTGCTTTATCATATATATATATAACATTAAGGTTATTATGTTCATTATTAATAGAATCTTAAGTCAGAAGTTGTGTTATATAATTTCACATAGGTCGACTTATAATGGAAATACTTCCTGGTACATTTCACCACATTTGCTATTATTATTATTTATTTGTATTTATTTGTTTGTTTGTTTGTTTGTTTGTTTCATTCTTTTAGTTCTCAGTTTGCAAACAGTTTTTCATGTATTTGGCGTTGTGTGGTTGCACCTTGAGACTCTATTGCTATAAAAGTATTACAAACTAAAACATAAAATAGATCTAAACATAAATACAATTTGAATGTTGATTTTAAAAAGACCAGAGATTTATCTTTGGAGTAAAATGTTAAAAGAAAAGGCGTCAAAATGTAGTGTTTCTCTCAGTCTTCTTGCCTTTCTATCCTTTAATGCAGTTTGTAATCAATACAGACGTGGAGCCTAGTTAGCACGTTTAGTCATTCTTACGTCTTCATCATGTTTTAATCCCAGGTCACTTTTATCAGTGTGAGTTGGAGCAGTGTTTCCTGTATTTGGACACCAGGGGGCGCTGCAGCTGTGTCTCAGGGGTTCCTCCAGATTCACTTTGATATACTGACCTTCCTATTTAAGTCACAATCACTAATTCCGTTTTTAAAGGTTGTTCAAGTAGGGATTCTAGCCTCTGCAGACCATTGACATGCACTAAAACCTACAGCACCACAGAAAGCTGAATATCAGGTCTAATATATAACTGAACGTTAGACAACATGATCTGCTGGCTCTGTCCAGGAGAGTTTTCAATCAGCAGTCAATTAAGAAGGTGTGTGTTTATTTCTGTGTGTGTGTCTTTCTCTATGTGTGTGTGTGTGTGTATGTGTGTGTTGTGTGTGTGTGTGTGTGGTGTGTGTGGTGTGTGGTGTGTGTGTGTGTGTGTGTGTGTGTGTGTGTGTGTGTGTGTGTGTGTGTGTGTGTGTGTGTGTGTGTGTGTGATGTGTGTGTGTGTGTGTGGGTTGTTGTGTGTGTGTGTCTGTGTGTGTGTGTGTGTGTGTGTGTGTGTGTGTGTGGTGTGGTTGTGTGTGTGTGGTGGTGTGTGTGTGTGTGTGTGTTTTATCTTGAGCTGATGTTGACCTTTTTATGAGATTCTATTTTCATATTTAATACATAAACAGTCTGTGTTCAGAGACTTCAGGAACAAAGACCCTCTCTCGTAAAATCATTGAATCGTTCTCAAGAATTAAAGTAAATTAAAGACCTTTCTTTTTAATTTTGGCCACTTTATGATGTCATAACGATGTTTTGGGTTTTGTAACCATTAGCCAATCAGCAATCAAGGTAACCCCCCCCCCCACCTTTTAATAATAATAATAATAATAATAATACATTTAATTTTGATAGCCCTTTTCCTAGTGCTCAAAGACGCTTTACATAGAAACAGAAACAGAAACACGACAAAGAAGAACAAGAAACCCATAAATCTCCTCCTAGAGCACCATTGAGTTCTTTTAAACCAATCATCTCTCAGGGGGGCGTGGCCAGCAGCAGCTCATTAGCATTTAAAGCTACAGACACAGAATCAGCTCCAGATACAGCTGGAAACTACAGATGTTAATCAGGGTGTATTTGAAATGAGGAGTAATTAGATTACAGCTCACAGAGGTTAAAGGTCCCGTGTCCATTTCTACTGATCATAATTCCATAGTTGAGGTCTACTAGAATAGATGTACATTGTTCAATGTTCTAAACTCACATTGGTTTCTCATACAGCATCTCTGTATAGTATGTGTATTCACTCTCTGTCCTACACGGCTTGTTGGAGCACCTGCCCCCCCCCTCCCCCCCTCCCTGTGAGCCCACTGTGCTCTGATTGGTCGGGACGTTGCGAGGCTCGTTGCTGTGAGGAGCGGACAGGTTTCCGTGTCGGCGATACAGCGAGAACAAGCTAAACTCATCCTGAGCACACAAACACTCACAGCCGAAGTAAAAACAATAAGTGTGGCTTGATATTGAGTAATAGCCGTAGTAGCCCGAAAAAACGTTTACCCATTTAAACAGTCGTGGTAGATACCTTGTTTGTTTTAAACATCATAAATACACAAACAACAATGAATACTTACAGGTTGTGTACCCGAATCTCCCGCTGGTCCAAACAAAGTATGAACAGCATCGTTCTTCAGTGCCCTACGCTGTACATATCCAGCATGAATCCTGAAAGGTTTGTGAAGCTTTGTTTCGTGAAAGGCTGGCAGAGGGTGTGGCCTCTGGGTGTTCACACGTCACTGTACCCAGGAAGAACATGAGCAATCTCCAACGAGGCGTTTTGGGGAGGTCTTTTCTGTGTTAGAGTTTTACTCCCTACAGGGTGCACTTTGAGGGTTTGTGACTCTGCAGACCGTTCACATGCAGAAACACCTTCATAACACAAGGGGACGGGTCATAACCAGAAAAGCATGACATGGGACCTTTAAGTGTCTGATCAGATCAACGTGGAGCTCTGGAGCTTCAGATAAACGACTTACTGAGCGTAATAAAACCATTACTGAGGACCGCTACCTGCAGCTTCAGATCTCATCTCGCATCAGAAACACACTCGGCTTCACTTTAAAGCATGCTTTGGGTTCAATAAACGGGTAAACAATTAAAACGTTCCAAATCTGCTCTTTTAATCACATTGCCTCCAATTAAATACACATGTAGGTTAAATGAACCAGCTGAGAGCACAGCTTGAGTTTTAGAAAGAGTTGAAACTAAAGTCTGAAAATAACCTGAAAGCTGTTCTTGTTGTTAGTTTTTGACTTCAGTGTCCCGAGGAAAAGGTCACGAGCTGCCGTCTGTTTTCCGACCTGCAGCAGAAACACATTATGTTTTATCTCTCCGTCTGTTTCTGTTTCTGAAACCTGATGATTCCATTCAGGGAAATTCAGTTCAGTCCTTTATCTTTCTGTTGCTTATTATTACATGTTACTTGTTAGACGCTTTTATCCAAAGCGACTAACATACTCAGTACTGTGGACAATCCCCTCAGGAGCAATTTGGGGTGAAGTGTCTCAGGGACACAACGACATGCTGACGACAAGTCCTCTCCTGCTGATGTTCAGGTGTATATCAGTATGTAGTGTCTCTACTTTAAAGAGTCCTCTCCTGCTGATGTTCAGGTGTATATCAGTATGTAGTGTCTCTACTTTAAAGAGTCCCCTCCTGCTGATGTTCAGGTGTATATCAGTATGTAGTGTCTCTGCTTTAAAGAGTCCTCTCCTGCTGATGTTCAGGTGTATATCAGTATGTAGTGTCTCTACTTTAAAGAGTCCTCTCCTGCTGATGCTCAGGTGTATATCAGTATGTAGTGTCTCTTCTTTAAAGAGTCCTCTCCTGCTGATGTTCAGGTGTATATCAGTATGTAGTGTCTCTACTTTAAAGAGTCCTCTCCTGTTGATGTTCAGGTGTATATCAGTATGTAGTGTCTCTGCTTTAAAGAGTCCTCTCCTGCTGATGTTCAGGTGTATATCAGTATGTAGTGTCTCTACTTTAAGAGTCCTCTCCTGCTGATGTTCAGGTGTATATCAGTATGTAGTGTCTCTACTTTAAAGAGTCCTCTCCTGCTGATGTTCAGGTGTATATCAGTATGTAGTGTCTCTACTTTAAAGAGTCCTCTCCTGCTGATGTTCAGGTATATATCAGTATGTAGTGTCTCTACTTTAAAGAGTCCTCTCCTGCTGATGTTCAGGTGTATATCAGTATGTAGTGTCTCTACTTTAAAGAGTCCTCTCCCGCTGATGTTCAGGTGTATATCAGTATGTAGTGTCTCTACTTTAAAGAGTCCTCTCCTGCTGATGTTCAGGTGTATATCAGTATGTAGTGTCTCTACTTTAAAGAGTCCTCTTCTGCTGATGTTCAGGTATATATCAGTATGTAGTGTCTTCTACTTTAAAGAGTCCTCTCCTGCTGATGGTTCAGGTGTATATCAGTATGTAGTGTTATACTTTAAAGAGTCCTCTCTGCTGATGTTCAGGT